TTGTGTGTCTCTGTATGCGTGTGTTTTCTTCTTTTGACTTGGTGTACTTGCTTTAAGATAAAGAAACTGAGTGTGCATCTTTCAACTGTTAAGATTAGATTAGTTAATACAGGGAAGACACATGAGTGCTCGCTATTTCTTAGAAACCGGTCACAAATAAAAGATTTGCGTATTCAGAAGTGTCTGATGCTGTGTTATTCTTTTCCTCCCAACCCCATGTTCTTTACTTCCTTCTGGACTTGGCACTGCTTTATCAAAGCTGAGTTTCAGGTCCTTCCTCTCCTGTGCTTGTAAAAACAGATACCATGGGCAGATCATGATGCTCATCAGTCCACTAGAGGAACATTCCCACCCATAACACTTCTTGGGAACTGCATTCTTAATGTTCTAACACCCCAACTCTGCTAGATCCTGCAATGGTCTTTTATTAAAGCTGATTTTGATTCAAAAGCAGTTGCCAGTCTTACCCACTAACACAGAATAAACCTGTAGATTTATGTGCTGCTTCCACTAATAGGATCTCTGTGGCAATGAAGGAAGGCATGGAGCCAATAGCAGCCATCAATAAATTGCTCCATGTTGCTGAGTCAGGACAAGGTAGGTCAGAGGCTTTGCTTATACCAGTTTCTTATGAGGATTGAGGTATCATGATTCATTTGGATAAAGCAAAAGTATCTCCCTTTTAATTATCTCTATTTTTCACATAAGATACTTTCTGCTCAATTGATATTTTAATTCCCAAATTTTCTTCACTCCAATGCAAAACTAATTGTTGGCTAGAGCTTGATTCATCAGCCTGTGGGTCTGTAAAGACTGCTTCGTGTGAGAAGAAAAAGGCGATGAGATAAATACACACACTGACTTTTTCTACCGTACTGAAGTTCCATGGCCATTACATATGCCACTGGAACACATTCTCTCAACTGGAGCAAGTTGTGAGAAGGCTGCCTAGGCAACAACTGCACAGGAGCCCTCATCATGATCTGATTCATAAACACAGGTTTTGTATCAACAATGAGTAAAGCAAAAGAAATAAACCTTTAAAAGGATGCTTAACCTGGAGAAATGGACCAAATGATTCCTATACTTATGTCTATCACACTGGTGACAACTAGTAAGTTTGTATTTTCTCTGATAGGGATACAACATTAAAGAATGATTATGCTTTAACAAAATGTTGATTGACATGAGAAGAATTCCTTAAGTTCTGGAGAAATGGAATTCTGACTTTTGATAATGGAGTCTTGGTCTTCTAAGTCACTGAAAGAATATTCTATATTGAACATTGTAGATAGAATACTGAAAGCAGGTGGTTATGTCATGTTTTCTCTTTGTATTTCTTTAATCTTTTTGTTAATAAAATAATAGCCATGATCTATTGAGCCTCTTCTAATCATCAAGTGTTTTGTATTCATCATCCCATTTGGTTTGCATCAAAATCCCAATAATTCCCTGTATCATGAAATCTTACCCTTTCAGAAGATGAAGGCAAGTTTTGGAGGGCTGGAGCATGCTCATCTGCTGAGAGAGGGTGCTGGAATTTTCTCAACAATGCTAACATTAGGCAGTTCTTGAATACTTGTAACTCTAGCTCTTAGTGGTCTAATGATCTCCTCTGGCCTCTCAAAATACCTACATGGTTATACCCACAGCCCCACACAGGTACACACAGATGCATACAATTAAAATAAACTAAAAACAAAGAATAATGAAAGTGGACTTAAAATTTTAAATAACTTGTCCCAGATTTCAGCTGGTAGAGCTGAGATATCAAAAAAACCCAGCTTGACCCCAAAATTCAACAATTAACCATTCACTCTTTACTCATCAACACACTGTGTTTCGAATGGAAAACTGTCAAAATTTGAAGGATAACTTTGGAAAGGTATCTGGCAATGAATAGTCCCACACACACACCTACTCCCAACATCAATACATAATTCCCATTGCCTTCTACAGGATTTATGTTGTTTTCCATGGTTACATAAATCCCAAGTCTAGGACATGCTAAAGGGCTCATCCACTTCAGTTCTATGCACATTATTTATTTGAAGTATACCTCAGATAGATCCTGAAAGGATAACTATGTCAATTGCCAGGATATGGAAACCTCAAAGAGTAAGCTCAGTCCTTTGGCTGAAAACCACCAGCCACACTCAGGAGCTGTTCCTCTTCTCTCACTTACCTGTGGAACATGCCTAAGCAACAGCAATGCGGATTACAAATGTTTTTTCAGATAAATGTCTGTCAGCTGCATAAGCAGGGCTAGTCTGAGAACAGTCATGAAGCAGGCCAGCCTCAGCCATGACCCCACCCATGTATCTGCATTGCATCATTGTATTATCATCAAGCATCCTCTTTCCTTCCTTCTTGTTTCAGTAACTGATACTTGATGCTAGAGACCCATGAGACAGCCTTACCTCTCCTCTCCTTTAAACCTTTCTATTCTTTATTGTACTGCACTGTGAAGCATTCTGCTACCTGTCTCACCCTTTCCTAGTCCCCAAGTGAAGATCTTCTAGAGATTTCCTTATGAGGAGGGAATCCAACCACCATCATCCCTCTACTTGTTTCTACCAAGATATTCTCCTAATACTAATGTTCAGAAACATGGGCAACTCTGATTTAGACCTAATGATGAGAGGATCAGATAACCCAGTTGCTTAGCTCAGGTTTGTGTGTTATGTCCCTGGGCATGAGAATGGGTAATGTTCCGTGAACATATTGACTGGTCAGCAATAGAACCCATCTAGGTAACGACTGTTGATACTCAACCATTTCAGATCAACCATACATCGATCAGCACCAAGAACTTACATCTCTCTCCCAACTCTAAGAAAGATGAGAGCAACAACTATGTATTTTATAATTCAGCATCTTAGTATCAGGATATAAAAACAAAATTATTTGAGATTTCACGGAAAACAAATGATTCCCTGAAATTTTATATGCAGCTGTCTTTTGCAACTCCTGTAACATTATCTGTTTTATTCACGTCCAGATTAGGCTTACTTGGTATATAGTTCAGCACAAACAAATCTTTCAATTCCCAAGTGCTCTCAGCTACAGGATTTGTGCTAAATATAAGTGTTATAAGTGACAATGACCTATGCAGTCACACTCAGAATATTAGATTAAAACAGATAAAAACAAGGTGTTTTAAATGATGTATTGTTTTATTAGTTTCCTTCAATGACATTAATGAATTCAAGCCCTGTAGCATCAGTCAATACCCTTGGGGCTCCTGGAATGTTCTATGGGTTTCTAAATAGACAGGTTTAAAATATTTCCTTGAATGACAAGCTTGATGATAACTCCTGAAGACATTTAGAACTCTCCGATTATGGTGGAAATGGTTATTTACCAAACTATGACAAAATATGAATTAATACTATGGACCTATTAAACAAGGAAAATAATTTAATAAGATTTTAGGTAATAATGGTAATAGTGAAGTGTCTATTTTAAATTTCAGAAGGAAATATCATTTGTATTTCAATGAGATCAGCGGTCACATAGTATTTACAATACTTTTCGAATATAAATTTTTTCCATTGTATAATGGAATGGTGAGAAAACATGCTCGTAAAAAGAACTTTCTCTGTTGTATCAACCAAGGGTATTTATTCTGGTGTGAAACCCAAAATGCTGAAACCTTGACTCACACCTGTTTCTCCCGAAACTTTCCCCATCTCCTGTTGTGGTCCATTTCTCTGTCTCAGCCAAGGCAGAGCAGGCAATGAGTGTTACTATGAAGAAAATGAGAAGATGGGAAGCCTTTCATCTTTCAGAGCGTGTCAACAACTCAAATGAGATATACTCTGGAGTTTTTAGAGAAAGGGCTGTGTAGGTCAACTCATGCTTTGGCACAAGAACGTGCTGTTCTTGCCAAATGAGACAATTAATTTATTGGAGAAAAACACATCGGATCAGCATGAGCACAGAACACTACTTGCATCAGACTTGGTGCTATTTATTCTTTTGTTCATTTCAGCATTTTTGTCACCCTTAACTATGAGGTGGACTGGTGTTGGGCCTTGTTCTAAGCACTTAGACGTGATATCGCATATTTGTGTCCTGCCTGTGAAGTGAGTACCATTTTTTAACCTCAACTGCACAAAGGAAAAACTAAGGCAATAACTAAAGTGAGACCTGTTCAAGTCCTTTAGAAAACGTTGCTCTAGCCGGGCATTCGTGGCGCACAACTTTATTCCCAGCACTAAGGAGGCAGAGGCAGGCAGATCTCTGTGAGTTCAAGGCCAGCCTGGTCTACAGAGTGAGCTCCAGGACAGCCTCCAAAACAATTGACAAACCCTGTCTCAAAAAAGTAAACAAAAAAACCTGACCTCAGACATCAATTTGAACAGGTATTTTGGTTTTATTTTCTTATGTATGAATCCCTAATACTTCTGGGTATTCTTAGACTGAAATCCTTTCTCAGAAGCTTCATCCCAATGGTCAAATTTCCATTCTTCAACCCTAGATTTGATTGAGAGTGAGGTCCTTTGGTCATTTCGGCTAAGCTCTTGAACTTTGAACTACCATCTTCGTTGAAGGGTTTCCCATCAATGTTGGAGCCATTCCTGCATTCACAGACTCCAGAGCTTATTGTCTTCATTGGTTATTTTATATTCAACCTTGTAACAGATATACATGTTGAATATAACATGTTCTCCCTTGCCCCATTACCCCACCCTTAATTATGTCCATTTTTAATACATTACAACAGATTAAAATGCATTTAACAATAACATATATCAGATTTTTTTTTACTTTTCATTACTTTTGAAATTGTAATATAATTACATTTATCCCTTACCTTCCCTCCTTCCAGACCCATATGTACCCCCCCCAAACACACACACTCGCTCTCTCTCTCTCTCCTTCATGGCCTCTTTTATCGTTGTTTTTGAAAACACATATGATTACACATATATTCTTAAATGTAATCTGCTCGGTACATGTAATATCACTTGTATTGTGTTTTGAGGCCTGACCATTTGGCACTGGAATGCATCACAAATTTATGTATCATCTCCGCAAATGGGCCGTAGTAATCTTCTCTGTATCATTCCAACTTTAGTATATGAGCTGCTAAAATGAGCATTCTTACTCTACCTTCAATTAGTGGAAATTGTGATCCCAGTAATGGAAGTAATTGTGCATTCATAACAAATTCTCAACATTTTGCAACATTTCATTATTTTAAGTAAATGGTTGCAGATAAATTGGGAGCTCCTATATACCTGTTTCCACTGAATTGTTCTCCCAACTGAAAATGAGCACTAATTGAGGAAAATGAATGATATTCTCATGCTTATATGATTTTTCCAAATTTTAATGTTTTCTCAGAGTATATTTTAAGTTTAAATATCACCACCCTTGATAATTTGCTCTAGTTATCATCACTTTACTTGAATCTGTTGATTGTCCTGGTTCATTCTTATTATCTAATATGTAATGCTCATTAGCCAATTATACTATAATTTATTTACCCATTTAATTGTGCATAGGCGCTTATGCTATTTCCAGATGTATTATGAAACTAGTGAGCATTTAGTCACTTTTCAAGTGCATCTATCAAAAGCTGTCTTCTAAGCTAAAATTCTAATCTGTGCATATACTTCTCAGATTTTTAAGCTCATCAGTTGCCTTCAAGTGTCTACCTTGGAATCCATTTAGGAATTTTTAATGTTTCCTTATCTCTTACATATTTTTAAAGCTAAACTCCGGAGTTTGTTTGGGTCTCATCATTTTTCTATTTGTATCTCCTGTACTGGTAGATACCACCAGGTTTCCTTAGTGAATTTGTTGTCTCCCATCTCTTCCAGAGGTGCTTGGTATCTTCTCAGTCTTTCCTGCTTTTCTTAAACACAACAGGATTAGGGAATGCTGACTAGGTATCCTTCGAATTCTATTTTATGACTGATTCACAGTTCACTTGGATTAATGAGTGTTTTGGAAATAATATAAAAAAGTGATACCATTTGATCATATTAAATTGTGGTATACATTTTATCCATATGTCATTTCTGGTAATCTTAATCTTCACTACTCCATTGAGATAGTATTTGCCAAGTTTCCCCATTGGAAAGTTATTCTTTGCTTAAATTTTATTCTTTTCAAATAGATAATTATTGACCACCATCAATAAGCACAGGAAAGTTTTAGTTCCACTTACTAAACAGGGAGTATTTACATATATGTATGAAATAGCTTTAAATGTTTTAAAAGTAACATTTAAACAACTTCCATTAATTTAACCACAAAAAAATTGCAGTTTCCAATATATCATGATACTGTCATCCTTATATAAAACTACTACTTCATGCGTTGAAAGGGCCCAACAGAATCTCAGCACCATTTAATACTGTTATGCATTTTAAAAGCCACATTAAAGAGTTCTTTTTAATTGTCAAAACTTTACATAATTCTTTTTCTGATTTGAATTTCTATTCTCATTGCCATTTCCCCAGATAATTTTTGACTAATTTAATTATTATTTTTAATTTTTATTTAAATTAAAAACAATCTTATTTTACATACCAAACCCAGTTCCCTTTCCCTCCCATCCTCCCATTCCTCTGCCTACCTCCCACCCCACCTCCTATCCACTCCTCATGGAGGATGAGGCCTCCCATTGGGGATCATCAAATTCTGTCACATTATTTGGGGCAGGTCCTAGGTCCTCCCCATGTGTATAGGCTGAGAGAGTATCCCTCCACAAGGAACTGACTACCAAGGCCCCTTTGTGCACTAGGAATAAATACTGATTCCAATGCCAGAGGCCCCATACACTGCCCAGGCACCCCAACTGACACCCACATTCAGAGACTGGTTTGGTATTTTGTTAATAAACATTTAATTGTAGAAGTATGTCTTAGGACTGTATGTTTCTAATTTTTTAAAAAAATGTTATTCTGGACTGACTTCTCATTCCAACTGTTTTCAGCAGGTTACTGACCATAGTGATGTAACATATTTTAAAGTAGTTAGACAAAATGATATATGTGCTAACATCATAAACTGTCAAAATGCAACTTAGATTAGATAAAACAAAACCTGTTTCTTTATTCAGCAGACAGTATTTCACACATTGTAAGTTTAGATTAACCCACGCATTGTCCTTTCCTCTCCTTCCCCTCCCTGTTACAGTTATGAATTCTCAATAGCTGAGGACTTGCAGAAGATCAAGGCAACCAAAATTCTGGCATGAATGGGAAGGTGATCTGAGGACCCCTTGCCTTACTGGGAGCTATTGCTATTCTGTTGTAAACGGAGTTCTTCATTGGTCTAGATAATAAAAACCCAGTGTCAGATATAGAGGGAAACACTGAGAGATCAGAGAGAAGGAGCAAGCCACAGCCACACCTTACCTCCTTAGCATCTCCACAGACAACAGAGTGAGTTCCTGTTTCTCCCTGCTTATATCCTGTTTCCACCCAGCTACCTCACTTCCTGTCTGTCTGTACAGACCTCCAGACCTCTATGGTTAGCTAGTGGCAAACTCCATTCTCTGACCTTCAGACAGGCTTTATTTGTACAAGCAAGATATCGCCACATTCCATAGCTGCTGGAGAAGTAAAAAACATTCTTTCCCTGAAGGAGTGGCCACAGACAGGTTTCCCCTGCTCCACATCCCTGTGCACATATGGGCAGCCCTAACTGTACTTGATGAGTTGAGAGAGAGAGAGAGAGAGAGAGAGAGAGAGAGAGAGACAGAGACAGAGACAGAGACACAGAGAGAGAGAGAGACAGAGAGAGAAGGGGGAGAAGGGGAGGGGAGGGGTCAAGGGAGAGAAAGAGGGAGGGAGGGACAGAACCACAAAGACAGAAAACAAAAAAGATGTAAAGTTGGAAGGGCATGTGTGGGAGAGAAAGAGGGAAAGAATAGTGATTATGATCATAGTTCACTGTATATGTGTATAAAATTCCTGAGATAAAAATTACATGACGCTAATTCGGTGAGGTTTAAAAAAAAAAGGACCACACAAAGTCAGGAGGGAAAGTGGTGAGGGAATAAGGCAGGAATTGGAGAGGAGAGAGGGCCAAGTATTTGTCAAAATGCATTACATTGGCCCAGAACAGCCGCCCTGGCCCTGTGGTCCAGGACAGAAGGTGCCACAGCCAGGAGCACGTAGGTGATGGAGAGATGGGAGAGATAGAGTATTCTCTGAACCGTCTGATACGCGGAGCCCGTGCTGGCACCTGTGGCCGTGGTGAGGTCAGGTCCCATGCTGCTGCTGAAGGCCATACTGATCTGAGTGGCCTCCACGGCCACCTGGGGCCATGGTGACATCTGGGCCTGTGGTCCTGCTGCAGCTGGTGTCTGTGTTGACGTCACAAGCCCACGTTGCCTCCAAAGGCTGTGTGGTCGTCTGTGGTCTGGGTGGCTGCCTGAAGTCATGTTGATGTCCAAGTGATGTGTTGACCCCACCCCTCCTGTGGGCTGCGGGAGAGCTGGCCCCTCCCTTCATAGTGTGGTTGAAGGAGACCGGCCCCAGCCTGCTGCGGGAGGGATGGGGTAGTGTTGGGGAAGTCCTGTGCATTTGTCAATAAAGCACTGTCTGGCCAATAGGGAATCTAGATAGGTGGGACTAGGAGTCCAGGAGAACTCTGGGAAGGAGAAACACAGGAGAGTCGAGATGTGACGCCATGAGGTAGGAAGCCCGGAAACTTCTCCGGTAAGAGACATACTTAGATTAACAATTATGGGGTAATTACTTAAGTCAGAGCTAGCCAGTAAGAAACAAGCAAGGCCAACAGCTTCATAATTAATGCGGCCTCCTGTGTGTTTATTTGGGACTGATGCGGCTCTAGAACCAGGACGGCGGGAAGGCTTCTTACAAGGAAAAAGCTTCTCTTTACAGGGCAGTGGAGACCTGGGCTGACCAACTCAGCTGCCACCCAGGGCCAGATTCAGGGCTTTGAGTTGGCATACCACAACATCCATCCTATCTGTGATCTGCCCGAACGCGTGAAGGGGCAGATCCTGCAGAACCCGTAGCCGCAGGCTTCCCATTACTCTGCGCAACAGCTGGGTACCCAAGAGGAGTCTCAGTGAGGATCCAGGATTGATAGTGTATTAGAAGCCAGGGGCCCTGAACCAGACCAATGACCCATTGCAATGAACATTCGCAAGAAAAGCTGTTTGGGCCAAAGGGTGCACTGCGTGACACACTGTGGCTTTCTGTGCCCCTACTACAAAGGAGTGGGTGATGGGGAGGCAGGAAAAGACAGAGGATTGAAATGGTAGTTCGGAGGAACTGGAGGCTTGACAACTGGTGACTCATATGAGAGAAGGCTCTGATTGGTAAAGGACCAGGTTGTTGCCCAGAGAGGTTAGCCAGATGGCTTTTTGTTTGTTTTTCTTTTTAATTTTAATTTTTTATTTTCCTTTTGTGGGGTGGTTACAATAGTATGGGTGGGTATGGAAGGATTGAGAAGTGAATGTGATTGGGGAACATGAGATGAAATTTCCAAAGAATCAACTTAAAAAATATGTTTAAAAAATGAATTACATATCACTATGAAATTCTTAAGCTGCTACTAATGAAGAAAGACATTGGGTGCCCATCCAACAATGAGACATGCACTCTCACCCTGGACTCTTGGGGGAGGTTCTAGGCCCTGTCCTGTATGAAATGACAGACTATGAACACCCCCATGGAAGAACTCACCCTCCCTGGGGGAAAGGAGGGCGTATTGGGTGGGTGGTGGGAGGGGGTGGGAGGAGGGGAGGGAAAGGGAGAGGGACGTGAGATTGACATGTGAAGAAACCTTGTTTCTAATTTGAATTTAAATTTAAAAATAAAAATTTTAATATAAAAAATAAATAAATAAGAAAAATTATAATCAAAGACTATTTTGTTATTTTAAAAAGGTTTATAAACAAAATAAAATTGGTTTAATTATTTCTCTGATTTGCATATCAAATGTAGCATTGCTTTTGATAATTTTTAGAAAATAATGCAATTAAAGAAAATATTGATGGTCATATATATTAAAATTATCAATTGAAGTTATATATATGAGAATATATCAGTGTTTCCTAGAATTTAATAGAAATGTATGAACAAGGTAAGTTTACTAAATTGCTGCAAGAATTTTAAATTTTTGTAATTGCCAATTTCCCTTTTATCTAAAAGAGTAACAAAAGGAGGAGCTAAAAAAGTCTTTGTACTACAAATTGTAACAACCAGTTTCAAAACCAAATAGTATAGTGTCTTCATAAATCATCTGTAGAAATGTATAGTACTTGATGGCAAAGTAAACCAATTAAAAGCCAAGTCATACTGTACTTAGCAAAGCAAATACTATGTAAAGAGATAATTTTGGTGATAACTTATAAGATTAAATAATAATTATATGTTTCATAAGTTAAAAAGTGAATGTGCATTATGTTTTAATTTTTGCCAGGGAAAATAATGTAAAGTCATTTACAAACTTATGTGCATGCATGTGTGTCTACATGTGCTAGATTGCACTTGGGTGCAGATGCCCTGGGAATTGCAAAGAAGGTTTTGGGACCCTTGGATCTGGAGGAGCATACGATGTTAGCCATCTGAAGCAGGTACCGGGAACTGATACCTAATTCCACTACCAGAACAGCAGAGGGTTCTAACTGCAACTCTCTCCCCAGTGCTAAAGTAATTAGATCATTATAAATGAGGACCATTTAGTGGATAATGTTGGGTACTCACTGAAAACCAAAGAGACTCACAACAATGTAAGGTCAAGATATTCAAGAGAACAAAAATGGCTAATAAGCCAAATTCTGTGCAAGAATGTGTTACCTGCCTTTAATATTTTAAAAAATTCAAGCAAACAAAAGCATTTCAATGATTTGATGAATGACACAGCAAAATAACAATTTAACATACTGCTGTCTTCATGGTTAAATCCTATCCGTTAATAACCTCTAATGAACTAGAGACACCTATCTTTTGAAATTTTTGAAATGTTAAATATAAAAATTTATTTGTGCAATTATTAACTCACTCAACATGTACTTATAATGTTTCATGGGTTTTACAGATTAGATTGTTATCACTAAACACATTAATTCATAATTATATGAAACTATAGCTGTAATTATGGCAATAATTATGAATAATGGTTCTTTGAGAGTATATAATTGATAATGAACACAAAAGAGTGTATCAAGGAGGGCCTTAGGTCATCCACAACTCTGAACTAACTTTCAACCTCTTTTGGTTGGAAATGCTTCAATATTGTTTTAAAATAGTATGGCCAAGGTGTCTTTATTTAAAATATATTCCATTTCATAAAGCTTGTAGAGTTTTATTTAGTAATAAAATAATTTGATAAAAATTAACTTAAATGCAGAAATATATTTTTGCAGTCAGGAAAATTGTTCGTTTTTCATTGCTAAGTCACTTTGGCTTAAACAGAATTTAAGGTGGATCAATTCAGAATCATTCAGCATTGCATTAAGACAAGTATTCAGATAATTTTTGAGTAAAAATGTTTCTTGAGTTTCTAAGCTGAGCAAACATCTTCAGACTTTTATTTATGCATCTTCATGCATGATTCTTTGTCTAAGTCAAAATTAAGGCTTCTGTCTAAGTTAAAATCCATAGAAATATGATTAAATTGTAAATTAGCCAAATTCTCAATAACTTCTGTTAAAATATTGGACAGGCAGAGGATATCAAGTCACTGAAAGACAGACAAAAGTTTTTAATCCTGGTGTTGACCAATGGGATCATTATCATGGATTTTGCTTCAAAAACATTTATCCCCTGAATGTGGGTGACAGTTATGTGACTTGATCTGTTGGGGGGGGGATGCTGCCATCAGAACCTATCTCTGGTGCATGAACTGGCTTTTCAGAGCCCATTCCCTATGGTGAGATACCTTGCTCAGCCTTGATAAGTGGGGAAGGGCTTGGTACCTCCTCAACTTGATATGCCAGACTTTGTTGACCCCCCAAGGGGAGGCCTTTGCCCCTCTAAGCAGTGGATGGGGAATGGGAAACAGGGAGGGAGGAACTGGGATTGGTATGGAAAATGAAAAAAGTTAAATAAAAGGAAATAGTAAAAAAGAAATACTTCTGGGCTTTATAGCAGCCGATTGCAATTTCTTAAGCACAATGTCCTACAACGAAACGGACTATTAATATAATTTTGGCTTAAATCCAATTATCATGTGTACTGCAAAGAACTAATAATTTCATCTGTTCAGCTATGGTGTTGGTGACGATGTAAAACGTACTAGTTCATGTCAAGTTACGAGGTTATTAAACAGAAGCATATTAGAAAGAAGCTGGGATTAGTTGAGAGATGTAGCTGGTGCCCTTGATTCTGTGAGTGTGACTGCCCTGTGACTATGTGACTATTTCACACTACTTTTTGGTTGATTTAAATCAAGGCAAAACTTTGTCAATCTTCCCATATGGGATATGTATATATGTATCTATGCATATATGTATCTATGTACATATGTATATATGCATATATGTATATATGTATATATGTGTGTGTATCCATATACACACATATATTTATAAATATAATATATATATACATATATATATGTATATATATAGTCTTTAAGGCTGGTAGTGCCACTTTACTAGGATTAGAAGTCTCCCAGACTGCTTTGAAAGTCATCTTAGGCAGGGAACGCACAGCAAGCCAGGTATTTCTAAAGACTGTCATGTAGGAAATGTCTTCATGAAGAACAATAGAGACACGGAAATACTGTTTAAAGATCTTTTGTGCCTTAGAACAAAAAGATATTTCTGGGATTTGCTAAAGGACATGTTTCACTTCACAATTTTATTTAGCTAATTTACGTTTTATAGACCTAATGTTTAGGGGCACTTAGAATAATCTTCAGTATTAAGGCAGAGAAATCCATTTGCTTAAAGATAAGCAAAATAGTGGGTACATTGGTGATTTCCCTGCATGTATGTCTGTATGAGGGTGTTGTATCACCTGGAGTTATAGTTGTGAGCCACTATGGTAGCTGTGAGTCACTATGATGGTGTTGGGAATTGAACCCAGATCTGCTGAAAGAGCAGGCAATGCTGTTAACCACTGAGCCATTTCTCCAGTACTGTAAATGGTATGTGAAATGCCCAAAGTTGAGTTATCATCTTACTGTCAAATTAATTAATTACCAATTCAGGGGAAATAATTGTATAGATTGTCCGATTATTGTAGTACTCCTGCTCATTTTGATGAGCCCATGCACTAGATAAGTGTGAATTCTAGTACTGCCTAATATCATATATTCTATAGCCACAGTGAATGAGCTCTTCCTATGGTCATACAGCTTTAGTAAGAAAGACGGAGGCATGTCACAGGAAGTTCCACGTCACTGGACAAGTCAATAGAAGCCATGCTAGACTCTTTCACAAAAAGTTTCACAAGAAAATCTTAACTGTGTGCAAAGGAAAATAAGATTTGACTTTCTGGGTACTCAACATGATCACTAGCCTCTATTTCAGGTTTCTTTTGCCTCTTGCTGGTGAATATTCCAACCAGCCCTACATTTGCAGATCAGATATGTAATGGGGGCATACACATTCCAGTTTTAGTCTCTGCTAAAAAGATACACATTATATCTACATATGTGTGTTTGGGCCACTGCTTCTTGGAATTTCTCACTATACACAGCATTACCTCGACAACATTCAGTCAGCGCCATATAACACAACTGTTTCTTGCTTTGTCTATCGTTTGTTCCAAACATTTACAGCTACCTATTCCTTCAATATTCTGGGCCACTAATCTTCTTCTTGCTTTATTCATAGAGCAGTCTTGGTCCCTCTCCATTAGGAATCTATATCTATGGAGTCTCACAGACTCACTTATGGAAACCAGTAAGACAGTCTCCTTAAAAAGAAGGAAGGAGGAGGAGGAGGAGGAGGAGGAAGAAGAAGAAGAAGAAGAAGAAGAAGAAGGTCTTTTCCTGATGGTAAAAATCTTTCCAGTTCTTACATGTATTTTGTGTAGTTAATTAGTAATTCTCCTCTTATACTATGTACATTACACAATATAGATTTTTCCAACAACACACAATTCAGTACAAAAACATTTTCAAAACTTGCTGGCAGGGTTAAAGAGGGCAGATGTCACTTTTCTTTCATTCATTTCCACACGTGAACATAGAAGTATACTGTGATTTACCAAACTTTCGTTTGCTATGTGGATGCTTTCTTTTAATTGCCATTCTGAAGTATCAGCTACAAAGTGAAACTCATCAGCTAACCATAACCTTATCATTCACGTTTTAGACGCAAATCAAATCGCTAATCTCAAATGGCAGATCTCACTGTGAATCTTCAAAACCATAGTACACATAGGGCCACTACCTTCATTTATTTCCAAACAAGTGTTGGTACTGTTTCAAGTTCTTCCAGAAAAAAAATGTGGGGCAGAAAATAATTTAAAAACGCTTGCGCGCGAGACACACACACACACACTCTCTCTCTCTCTCTCTCTCTCTCTCTCTTCTCATTCCTTAACTTCTTCCCCATTACATACCAGATTTCTTCTGCCCAAAACTCATGAAGTACTATGAGGTTTCTTTAAAGACACAGAGGATAGATGGGTAGATATGTAGATTGAGGGTAGTGATGAATAATTTTATTGGTTTCTCAACTCAGAATCTCACTGAGAGAATCAAGTTTGACAGGCATTTATACTAGCCAATTATCTCACGTTTGCCCAGGTTTTTTTTTCCATTTTTTAATTCACTTGCCCCAAGTGTAAAACACATGTTAGTTTTGACTGCCAAGGTTCTCCCCCCTATCCTTGTACATCAGTTCCTGTGTTTGCTCCACCTTTAGTGTCTAATGTTGAGCTAACATCAACTACAAGGCAAACAAGGCAACCTCTGAACTTTAGCTGTCAACAAAAGTTGAAAAGAGCAGTAATGCGAGCAAGATGTGGCGAGGGTGTTGTGCCTGGGAAAGGAGCCTCACCAAAGATCGCTGCTCCTTCTGTCTCAAGAATCAGCCTCTCTCGCGGCTCTTTATTTCTTTTGCATAAGGAGGACGTTTTTTAATAATTCAGTGAATTTTTTCCCTGTGACTTTAGAATTTTCCCGGAGTGGTCATGCTTTTAATTGTTTTCTCCTTAGACTGATGGCTAATAGTATTGACCACAAGGAAAAAATGTCTAATATTTAGAGATTTCTTTTTCTTTTACCAAACTCAAGGTCCTAGAGTCATTAGAACTAAAAGCAAAGTCATCCTGTGAAATCTTGACACGCAGAAAAGAGTGTGCAATGACATTCACACATACTGTGTGCACTGGTTATTTTCCCAGTCACCTAAGCCATGTCAGTCTTTGTAGGAGAGGAGGCTGCATGCCTTCAATCTCATAATGGACATTAAAGAGCAAATATATCTTCTTTGATTGTCCCAAAATGACTCAGAAGCTAAAACAAGTGAAGGGAGCCCATTTTGAATGTTTTGAACATTAAGCTACTTTTTTGTTTGGCACACAGCTTTGACCTACTACACAAACTACTTAGCCCAATGGACTTCTGTGAGCCTGTCTTATTTTTATACAGCACCCATTCCTAGTCAGATCAGCTCACTTCATGGGACATTTAGAAATGAACTTACACAGACTCTGACATGAGAAGAATGCATTGTTGCCATGGAAGCAATCTAGAAATCACACCAAGAACCCTTGTCTTGGTGCCTTAGACTCATTTCATACAATAACCTTTTTCTATACTTAACAATTTTGTGTGGCACAAAGTTATTTTAGAGTCCAATATTTCCCTGCTCATGAATTTCCCACCAAACTCTAGGGAAATAAATCAAGTATGGTGGGAAATTCATGACCATTATTAAGAACATAACTATTGGAAAAAGCAGACAAAAGAAAAACCATGAAGAGTGATTAAGTATCACTTTCATATAATAAAATTAATAGCATCTTTGCAGATTTGATAAGCGCTTATCCATGGTATCTTAGAAAACTGGAGTTTGAAAAGAGGCAAGAATTAATTTGTCACCAGCATTTATACTGGAGTCTCTGGGTACTCAATATTCTTGTTGACAAATGAATCATTGTTGTAATTTGTCCCTGAATTACCAAGTACACATTCACTGGTCACTGGTTCTCCAAAGAACTAGAAAAAATAACAAGATAAGTTAAAATAAAAAAAATAGTTCTTAGAGGTTTGCAGAGTACAGTGGCAAATAATCATTGATTCAAGACTAATAACTGAACATGTACTATGTCAGAGATACCTTGCTCCAGAAAAACAAAACTTGAAATATTTTCTTTTCTACTACAGATGGCAAATCATTTGTGATGTCATTTAAGAAATATCCATTGTTTAAAAAAAGCATTCAAAATTTGAAATTCTTACTTCCTTCAAAATAAAAGAATTATGTGTAATTATAATAAAATGCTATCTATTTCTAAATTATATTTAAATTGTGAAAGATTGGGAGATTAAAATCATCACCTCACTTTTGCTCAGCAAGTTCTGTATTCCAGGGCACTTCCAGTCCCCAGTTAGTATTCAAAACATGCTAACACCTTCTGAGTAAAATGTGTGTACTGCCGGCAGTGGTGGCATGTGCCTTTAATCCCAGCACTTGGGGGGCAGAGGCAGGCTGATCTCTGTGAGTTGGAGGTCAGCCTGGTCTATAAAGTGAGTTCCAGGGCAGCCAGGACTATTACACAGAGAAACCCTGTCTTGAAAAACTAAAACAAACAAACAAAAACAAAGCAAAACAAACAAACAAACAAACAAAACGGATGTGCACCCAAAATACTATTGGAAGGGCAAGTTAAAAATGTGACTGACACAACTTTCAGAATCTGTAAGTGTTTCAGTAGATGTTTATAGTGCTGTATGAGGAACTGGGACTTACATGTGGTGGCCAGATTAAAGTGGATGAATCATAATCAAATGGAAAATATCATATACCTTCCCTGGTGATGTTATGATCTGAAGCACACTGGGTAATGATCTACAATCCATTCACTTTGTCAATATTTTTGGCCTTCTGCTGAGAAACAATGGCAGAATGGGTAAAACGTCACTGCTTTTGATTTGTGACACATCCAAGATCTTTTTTTTTTTCCTCTTAACTTGGATGATTGAAGCTGTTGTCTGTGATTACAAGTTCTGGCTTGGCTTTCTCGCCATGCAGGAAGAGAGTAATCCTCTGTGGTTCAATAATTTTCTTCCACATTTTGGCATTACCACCAACACGTGCACTGAGGTCTCCCCCTCCACCGACCATCGGGATGTCAGATGGTAGAGCAGCTGTGATGAGTTTGTGCAGATCTCTGCAGAATTCCCCCCCTCACCGGAATGTATGACAGTTAGGACATTTTCACTGACAAAAGAAGAAGATGAAGAACGGTCATTTGATAAGTCCCCATACTGACCAGTCAAGTTGGAGATCATTAACCACTTAAACACCCTGGGACTGGAAGCCCTTACCTCCAACGTCTCATATCGTCTCATGGTGCATCTGTAATCACTAGGGAGAGATATTCAAAATAGTTTGTTTCTAATATAATGTCTTAACAGGAGTTCCTCCTCATGTTTTTGCAATTAAGAAAAAAGACCAACAGAGAGCCATGTTTTCATGATCAGCCTCCCAGTGTCTGAAAGGACCCCACCCTAACTTAACTGCCATCTTGGAGTGCTTTAGTGTCATCTCCAAAGGAGGAAATTAAGCCACTTACACTTCACAAACACACTTGTAATTGCAGATTGCAACTCACTTAGAGGCTGAATACTTCTGCAGACCACACTGGGTTGAGAAATGAGGCAGCTTTTTCTCTCCCTAGGGAGATTCTTCAGAAATCTCTGCTCCATGTTATATCCATAAGATAGGAGCTGTGTCTCTCAGGAGGGTTGGTATTGTGTTCATTAAGGTGTTTATTTTATTTCTGTCTCTTGGATGGAGAAGCAGGACAAAACACACATGTTGGGGAAATGGAAGACATTTCATAGCTTACAATATTAGAATTAAAAATTATAATATTTACTGTAAGAAAAGACTCTAATTACCATTTTACTGGGCAGAATCTTTGCAAGATGTATGCAAACTAGAAGTGGAATTTCATCTTTAAGTCATTACATTTCCATAAGAAGCCACATGGCTGAGCTGCAAGGCACATTTTCATGGTACACTGTGTGCCTTCACTTTTTGTTGTTGATGATGGTGGCTTTTCTTTTTAATATTATAAAAACTTCATTCTACAGGAGTTCCAATTTCCAATATCATATTTTAGTGTACAAAAAATATAACTCTGATTGAAGCAAACAGAAGAGGTGGGAGCTAACGTCAATTCTTAAAAGCAACGAAATAAGATCTTGATTCCAAATTGGCTTCTGAGGTGAATTTTCCTAATTTTTCTCATTGAAAAGTTCCCAGATGCTTCTCACATGTCCAAAAGGAGACAACTTGGGAAATGAGGAACAAAGTCTTGACTTGCTGATGGTTGCTAATCTCTCGGGGCTTTACTCCATCGTTTTTTCCAGGGAAGCAAACACAAAAGGAAACAACAGACGTCATGTGAAGACAAATAAAGCTTCCTCTAATGGTGGATGCTCTGTCTTAATTTTGTGATTAGAGATGGAGCCCTTTGTGTGTCCAGCACGCATCAAGGAACCACTGCCTGTGAGTGAAACATCCTCCCCTTACTCGTCCTGTGGAGGTATCTTTGGCTTCATGTGTGGAGTGTCCACAGAGCAGCAGACACCTCGTACACACACTTCTCCTTTTCTGCATGCCATACTGACTGAATTACGGCATGTGCAATGCAGTGCAAGGCAAGATTTCTGTTGTTGGTGTGATTTCTTTTTTGCTTGTTTTTATAAAGTGCCAAACAGTAGTTCAACTCTGTAGGTTTATAAGATATCTGTCATGACAGTTGACCTCTGCTATTACAAGCAGGCATACTGGGCCTAAAGAGATGGT